TGAGGTAACCACGCCTGATCGATCTTCAATATGGTTGCACAAGTCAAAACAGTTCTTCGTGTCATCGCTGTGGTCCTTGTGGAACTTGTAGTATTTGTCTTAGTTCCTCTTGTTACTTTGCGTATTCATCTTCTCGGTCCACCTGATGTAGTTGCAGTCACAGATTTGCATCAGAATTTCAGACCATGAAATATTGAGCGGCGTGAAATTCCGGTAGGTTGGTGGAGGGGTCCGAGATCTATGGTTTGGTCGGCGATCTCGTCTGTTGTGATCTTTGTCCAACCTCTCAGACTTCCGCTCGTTGGTGTCTCTCCTCTTCTTGTCGGGCTTCTCTTCTTCATTTTTGAGTTGTGCTTGAGCCTCTTCAACGTTGATATACTTCTATGTGTGACTCATTAGCGCAACTACCATTTGAGAAGGATTTTTGGAGATGGAGAAGTTGAACGGGGAAGGACAGAGCCTGTGTTATATGGCCGTATCTGAGGATCGATTGGTTCAAGTCCCTAACCTAGAGTGCCTCCTTGTTGAACCTTGCTAGGTAATTTCTGAGGGTCTCCGCTTTCCTCTGTTGGATTTGCATGGGGCTGGCCGAAGTTTTCTAATGCTTCTGGCTAGCAGTGAACTACGCTAGAAACTGGGTTTCCAGCTGGTCCCATGACGTTATGAAGCGCGATGGTAGAGAGAAGTGCCACGCCAAGGCTAGACCTTGCAGGGTGGCTATAAGGGCTTTGCACATCAATCCTTCCGACGCACCATGCAACATCATCTGAGCTTTGAGTGTGCGACATGGTCAAAAGGGTCGGTGTTTCCGTTGTATTTGTCGAACTAGGGGGGCTCGCCATCCAGCGGGGGGCATCTCGTCCATGATGTCCTGGACGAAGGGTGGCTCCTTGACGGTATGTGTGGCATCCCGTGCTGGCTGGTCCATGGTGAGCGCCACGCTCTTATGGGTCTGAGTGCGCTCCAGTTCTTCTAAACGTTGCCGAAGCTCTTTAATCTTGACATCTCTGCCGTCTGGGGACACTACGTGGGTGGCCTTCTCCTTCTTAGGTCGCGTAGGGCGGTCCTTCGCTGAGCTTGACTCGGCAACGGAGACCACGAAGGCGGCATCCTCTTGCTGAGCCTCTCTCTGGTGGGGATCCGAGTTGACTGGCATGTCTAGCTGTGGTGATCCTACTCGCGGGAGCAAACAGTAGAGGCGGGTCTTCGGGTCGTGTCCTGCCTCTCTCGCTTGGACCGCGCTCCCCTCACATCCGACCGATGTACTTTGTGGTCTTCGGTCCGAGGATCGTCCTTCGTGCGCATTGGGGCATGAGAGGGGACGACCTTAATGGGCGGCGCGACAGACCCCAGTGCCTGCATGAACTTGAAGATCTTGTCGACCTTCTCTTGCATAGCTCGAAACTGCGCTGGGTCCACTTTGGTCGAGGGCTACGAGGCTTCGTGATGCGAGGGGCTGTGATGTCGGTTCTCCCGAGATGGGGAATGACCTATTAATCGTTCAGACTGGTTTTTAGGCATCTTGATCGGTTTTGAGGCTGCCTGGGAAAGGATTTTTTTTTTTTTGAAGGCTTTTTGTGCGTTCCCGTAGATGGCGCCAATCTGATGCTGCTCAATCTGAGGTAGTGCACAAACTGAGGAGAGCAACCAGATATTCCTTGCTGACTGGGCGGTGCTGGGCTTACAAGGACGGTGCCGCACTATGTAACCTGTGATCAAGAGAAAAAGTCAAAGGCCCAAGGAATTGTCCCTAGGTAGACACTCTGACGCTTAAGTCAGTGAGAGGGTAGTGAATGGTCGGGCCGAGCAATGAGGGTGCTTGTCCGAGCAAAGAAACAGTATGGGTGCTAGGAGTTAGAAACTAATCCCTTACCTTGAGCATGGAGTGCCTTTTTATAGCCGGGGTCTGTCTCTTGGTCGGATTAGGGTTCTGGGATAATCGGGATAGAGCTCTCCACCGAGGTTACCAGGGTAGAGTCCTACTCCTCGACGGAGTTGTCTTCCCACCCTTATCCGTAGTCGGGCTTATCCGCATGACGTGTAGCTGACGTGGTTGGAGGGATAAGGTGGGGGACCACGATAGTAACATAGTTGCTGGGCTATGCTGATGTAGCCGAGCTGAGCCGACATGGCCGAGTTAAATCGACATGGCCAAACTATGCCGACGTGGCCGAGCTATGCCGATGTGGTTGGACGATGAGTGAGTGGCCACGTGTCTCTTTGGGCAAGCCCAGCCATGACCCCAATAGGAAATGGGAAAATAGCCGTTACTGATACCATTATATCGGTGGACGAAAGTAAACTCATTGCCTATTTTCCCTCCATGGAAGAAGAGAGTAATTTTTTACTTCGAAAAAATTGATGTAGTTTTTCACTCTCATATCGATATAAAGTCCGGGATGTTTGCAAATTTATCTGGTGTGGTTCTTCACCACTGTGCATCTCCCACCATAGCATATAAGAGTATAAGACCTCGATCGTGTCCCTGTTGTACCCCTCCCCTTCCACTGAGTGTGCACAAACACAGACCCCAAAACGGAAGAGGTTTTGATTTGATATATCTTTGTTCTTTTTTCATTGGGATGTTGTACAAGTTAATTCATATCGACCGGCGAGGCTGGGACTAAGGTTGAGCCTTTTTTTTTTTCCGATTATGGGTCAAGATGGGTAGCATTAATTCCAATCATGCCCTCCTCTTCTGTTGATCTTATTGTCTGCCGCCTTGCAAATGTATTTAGCATTTCAGTTGGCTAGGCTAGGTTTTATAACAAACTAAAACTAGAACTCTGGTTTATTATCCCATGATTTAAAGTTACAGGATATCTAAATAAATCTAAGTTGCTCACCAGTTACCACACCCTTTTGGTAGTCTGGGACTCGGGGGCCGGTAGGGCGCCCAGATTGAGATGTCTGTGGTGTAAGTGTTAACACGCGCGGGCACACACACCGATACACTCAGTTCTTTCTTTCACAGTCATACTCATACACACAGACAGTCTGTTGGCAGATTTCATTATGGAAAGGGATGTTTTCGGGAAATTCGTTTTCAATATATGCTTCAATGATTCTAACCACCCAATTGACGGGTTTCTGTCAATCTACTTGTTTAAGTTCAATGATGCACTTTGACAGATATATATTTTTTTAATCTCCATCAGCGCGTGAGGTTAAGCCGTGGAGTGGAGAGACAGAGACTCCTTCCTGTGTCATTACGATACTGTGAACCGATTGTATTTGACTACGAGGGAGGAGGAGGAGGAGGAGGAGGAGTAGAGGAGGATAGGGAAGTCGATGATGTATCCGTATCCCTGGACCTGGAGAAGGAATATTCCTGGTCCATGTTACCCCCGTGAATTTCCCTATAAAAACTGCTACAAACTCCAACCACAACCACAAGGAACTGAACCTGAGACTCGAGAGCGACTAGCCAACCTGCCAAGTGAAAACGAGATGGAAGTTCCCCAAAATCAAAATATTCCCCCAATCAGATGTTTTTTTTTCCTTTCTATCAGACTATTACCGGCCGGGGCCCGGAAACAACCAACCTGGCCTGGCCGACATTAATTTGTAGCCGGTCCCTTATCTGAATTGTGAAGCGGAGCCACAGATGAGACAATAATGATAATCCATTGAAACGTCCCCGAGGACCAGGAGAAGGGAATTGTGAATTCCTGATAACTTTGTGATGAAAGACAAAAACCAAATCGCTTTTGCAAATTGCACAGGGAGAAGGGAATTCTGCTCGGTTGGTGCGGGCTCGGATTGTTCCCATCTGATTTTTATGAAGAGGGAGGGACCCCCAGGCCCCAGGCCCCAGGCCCCAGGCCCCAGTCAGTCATCGATTATCCGTCTGCCTTCTCAGTTCTCACCTGTCCCTCTATGCTTTTTTATTATAGACAAGATGGCATGATCACTGTTTGCCAGGTGGCAAGTGATGATGTGGACAGTCTCCTTAACCCAGATGCCATCTCTTCTCAGAGGGAGAGCAAGATTCCGTGCCTCTTTGGGGTTCTTTCTTTTTTGTCACCCGGACCTGTAATTCTATTCCACCACTCACGTGTCACGTCCCACATTTATTAGAGAGAGAGAGATGTTCTCTTCTCTTCTCTCGTGTGAAAAGGCAACTTTTAACGAGACAACTCTCACGAAAGCGATATGTCACGGTCCCCTGCTGCTGTTGCTGAACGATCGTTGCGTGTTTGCCGGTCACGTCACGTTCTTCGACGGTGAAAGGTTTTTTAAGGCTTTCTTCAGCTCCGCCCAGTATCTGTATCTCTCTTTGCTCACGTGGCCTAAAAAGGGCCCCGGCAAAAGTTTTCTGGAACATGATGAATCGTCCATTATGATTCACCCAGGACCGTCGGATTGCTTTAACAAACTATGATGATAATGATAGGATCTCTTGCAAGTTCCAACCAAACCAACCAACGGCTGGTCTGCTCTGGTCTGCTCACCTGATAATTGAATGTTGATGTCACACAGTTGGCCTCAATTATACGATTCTGATACAGTGTTGACCACCGATTTTTCATTCCAAGTTACAGGATTTCATACGGGCAATCCACTGTTTATAATAGTCAAAACAATGTGGGAACTTTGACTATTGGGTCAATGATCGAAATGCACAGGTTGGCCGATCGAATCCAACGATCTTGATTCAAGAAAGATAGATCTCAACGTTAAAATCGTTAGTACTTGCTAGGGATTCACGTGCCCTTAAAATCATATTTTAATAGATCTGCTGTTTTCTAAATTGCAATTTTTTTTTTTTTGGCTTTGAAAAGAACGCTGCACGTACGAACAGGAAACAGGAGAGGGAAGGAAATGAAGTGGACAAGACGCGACAGAGAGTCTCGTCTTTCTCAATATCGACAGAAGTGCAGACTATATACGTCTTTATTTGCAAATTTTCTTCTTTGTTTGCATTCTAATTCTTACTGCCTGGATTTTTTTTTTTAATTATTTTCTTTTTACTCCAAATTTTACACCAGTTGAAGAGAATTGAGAAGAGAGGACGCTTTGTCTTTCTCAGCTTAACCTGCGCATCTAGCCCCCTTCCTATCCTACGCACTCTTTTCCTTTGTGACACTAGACTTGCAATAGTGAGGGGGGCTTGATCAGAGCTTGCCTTTTCAGTCATTGCAGGAGCTATAGATGGAGTTTTCTAGGGTTCGTGATCAAGTGAACGTGGCTTGGCATCCAAGTCAATATTGCATTTTTTCCATTTGAGTAATTTGGTCGTGAGAACAGTCCTTGATCCTTGCGTGAAGAGTTGGAAATGGTTTTCAGTAGTTGCAGGGGTAGATTATTGTGTACTGTGATCTTCGTCTTTCCAGTTCTGAAGCTGGTTTGCTTTCGACTTTCGAGGATTCTCAGGGGTTAAGAGGGTCTTTTTGGGGAGTTCATACGGAATTTCTTACGCTATGAAATGTACGGCATTTCGTTGGAGGTTGTCGTCTGGTGATGATTGGGGTATTTTCATGGGGTGATTTGAGTTATCGGAGCTGCATTTGAGAAGGTTTTGTTCGATGAGACTAGACTTCAAGTATTTTGACACTTCGAGGGCTCATGGAGGAGTTGGCAAGGAGAAAGTTCTGTTGCTCAGATTGAGGGCATTGGGGAGGGGTTGTGTATGAAGATGAAGATTCGTGTATAGTCAGTCTTTCTGGAGTTTTAGGGATCTTGCTCTATGATGCTTCAGGCGCCTTCAAGGATACTTTTAGGGATCTCAATGATATATTCTTTACCTTGGTAGATCCTCAAAGGAAGCTTTTTTATTAACTTTTTTAGTCTTTAGTTTAAGAGCAGAACTTGTGAAGAACATTTAATTCGCGCTCTATATTTTTCTTCTTTGGCGGGAGAGAAATGAACGATACCTCAGGGAAAACATGTTCAACATTAGCTATTTCAGAGAAGCGGCCTCAGAGGCCCGGTGGTTGCGTCGGTATCTTCTTTCAGCTCTTCGACTGGAACCGGAGACTAGCCAAAAAGAAGCTTTTTTCTAAAAAACTGCTTCCACCAGGTTCATTTTCTCTTCAATGATCTAAAGCTACAGGTTTTTTTTTTTTTAATACTTTTCAATCTATATTTACTTCTACGGCAACATGGCATTGCCCAAAAAAATCAACTTCTATTTTTTCGTTGTCTCAGCTCGAGCGAAACGTGCTTCCAAGAAGTTCAATGGAGATGAGAAGTTGCCAATGGCCAAGCTACTTCTGGTACGATGTTTACTTGCTTCTTTGAACTCTGATCTAAATGACATGTTTGTTATTCTTCTCATCTTTCCTCCCTTTTGATATATATATCAGATTGCTGATGAAAATCGTGGGGGTTTTCCTAATTCTAAGAAGACCGAACTTGATACCATTTATTCTGAACGAAACCATGAAATGCGACAACCGGGTTTGGTCGCCAGGTTAATGGGTCTGGAGTCCATGCCAACCGTCCGTCGAGATAAGGCAAAAAAACCTACATCCTCTGATTTTTCCCCCAACCAGGAGAAGAAGTATACGAATAATCCTAGTAATAGAAGTTCTGAGCTCTTCCGTTGTGATAATGAAGATTCGAATTTGGAGAAGTGTCAGACGAAGATGGAAGCAAGACCTCAGAAGCTTCAAAAAACAAGGTTGTTTGAGAGACGCTCAGTGAACAGGTTTGGAGCCGAGGCGCTGCAATTCAAAGGAGTTTTATCACGTTCAAAAAAGCATCAGCAGAAGCTTGTTTCTCCGGTGAAGAGCCCGAGGATTCTTTCCGGAAGAAACGCAGCTAGGTTGATGGAAGCTGCTACGAAGATTTTGGAACCTGGGCTACAATCTACTAGCAGGGCAAAATGTACTCTTACTTATACCCCTTCTCTCCATCGTCCTCCAAGGGATGAAATCATGATAGAGGGAACAACAGTTGTACCACTGGATCATTCTAAGCAATCCGAAAATTTTGTAAGCGCTGCCAAGCCTTTGAAGGGGCAGGCATCATGTAAAAGTTGTGGTAATTTGCTAGATGTTGTAGATTTTAGATCAAGCGTTGAAGAGCAAGAGCCAGGGTTTGCATCATCTTTCTCGGACTTGAGCAACTCTCCCCCTCAAGGGTCAGGGAAGAGTAAACCTAGATCACCTATATCCTCTCTTGATCAGAAGAGAGATATGGTTGTTCTGAAAAATCAGGAGCGGCAAGTATCAGTTGCTGCTCATTCCAAGGCTAACATGCACATACGGACTGAAAACATTACAGACAGGAGACCTCCCTTTCGAGAAAATCAGGACAATTCCTGCATGATGGGGCAGCGTTACAAGTCTCAAAAGGATGTACCCGCGTCTACTGTTATCAAGCAGCGGACTCAGAGGCAAAATCAGGTACTGACAATGAAGGATAGGGTACCACCCAGACCGAAAACAAACAATCTGCAGGGTAGAAGATACATGTCTGGTGGTGATGTTGTTAATAGGACCAAAGGTTTTGCTTCTTTGAACAGGAATGCTAACTGTCAAACCCGACCAAGGATGCCTTCTAGAGTATTGGATAACCGTAAGGTGGTTAACACAGAGGGGAATGCCTGTGACGGTCAAGATGGTTCACCTTCACGGCTGAAGCCCTCAATCAGGAAAAGGAGGCCTCTGAATGGTAGTGGTCAGGTTGGAAAAGCAGGTTCTGTTAGTTGTATTGTGAAGCAAAGGAATACCAATGGAAAAGGAGTTGAGCTTAATACCGGCATTGTGAATAGGAGCCATATCAAAAGTGGGTCTCCCAGCAAGGCAGGAGTTGGTACAACTGGTGGAAAGGGCAATGAAATTGTTTCTTTCATGTTTAGTTCCCCAATGAGGCAAATCATCAGCTCTTCTTCCCCTACACAAATGGAGAAGAGAAGGGGTCAAGGTGAACTTATTGGAAGCAGTGTTTCTCAGCAGAAAAAGCAAATATTGGACACAAACTATGGAAACCCGTCTCCAAGAACATCGCCATTGAAGCTAGATGCTCTAGGTGTTCTTCTGGAACAAAAATTGAAAGAACTGACTTGTCAAGAAAGGGATGAGTCCATAGGAGGTACTGCTTCAGGGAGAACTACTGCTTCCATTCTCCAAGAACTGATATCTGCCCTAACTGCAGTAGGACCAATTTCTCAGGAATGTCCAGACAACTCCATTGGAATCGACGAGGGAAGCAGCTCATGCTACAGTAGCCCAAAATCCTCTGAGCTCACATCAGCCCATGGTCAGGCATTCAAGACAAATAGAAAGCTCCAGGTTAGTTGTTATTTTCTTTAATTTCCATTCTAAGGCACAGAAGGTTGAGTTTGTGTTCTGCATAATTTATTTCATATGTTCTGAAAGACATTATAAATCAGGGGTTAATTGTTAGGTGGATCATATAGCTAAATGTCTTATATTGTCCCGGAATCTTAGGCAACCCAATTTTCATATATTTGGGACATGTCACTGTATCCATTTGGCAAGTTTCAGCCTTTTGAACCTTTGTATAGCAAGAGAAAGGCCTCTTTTCTGGTGTTTTTAAATAAAAAAATAAATTGTTAAGAGTCAAAACATTGTAGGTGATTTGGCTTATTGGATTGTGTACAGTACATGTGGCCAATCTGGAGGATGACCAATTAGTTGCACAGTTCGGAATGTTCATATCATTGTTCCACTTGGCTTAAAAGTAAGGGGGATCATTGAAGGTCGAGGGGATCCATTTAAAAGAGTCCTTTTAAAATAATTTGCATTATGTTAATATAATGTACTGTTCAATCCTCTTTAACTGTATAATACATCTTTATTTATTTATTGATTTGATAAGTAGACATCGCCATTTATTTATATCAACAAAGATGAAAAATGTAGCATATTATTGTATAAGCTTCTTAAATATTTAAGATGTAGCATAAGTGAGTAATACTTGTATTTTTTATTTTCTACGGTAAAGATTAATACAATACTTTACCTCTTTCTCAAGAAAAAGACTTGTTAAATATTAGATATTCATTGTATTGCATATTAGCAAATATCTTAAATGATTAAAAGGCCATATAAGGCCATTACCCAATGCTGGTCTTGGTTATCTGGGGTCTTGGGAGGGATAGATTGGTATGGATCTAACCTCTGGCATTTATTTATTTTTGCACAAATTGACCACTTTCTGTCTCAAAACTGTGTTCTCAGACTTTTCTGCCTGAAATAATAGCATGGCATTGGTGTAGCACCATATCTGAGAATTTACTTTGTATTCGGATCCTAGGGGAAGACGTGAAAATATAGGGTGGAACTATAATACAGAATGGCAGAAAATGTATAAAATAATCTATTCTCCACCTTTTAGCCAGAACATTTTTTGTGCCAAAGGGTGTAATGCAGAAAGTAGCACATTACCAAATCTTTTTCTGTTGTTCTCCTAATCTAAAGGTAATTTTACGTCTAAATGTGAAAGAAATTATCAAGGTGTATAAATGATGGTTGAAAACAGTTAGATCTATAATTCCTGGATACCTGTACATGCCTAAGTCCTGCTGTTGGATACTTGCCCAACAAAACATTGGATAGTGGTGGATACTGCATTGACGATTCTGAAATACACTATATGGAATTAATGCTTTCAAAATATGTAAAATGGTATGTTACACATCATACTATAAAAAAAAAACTTGTAACATGTTAGAAGCTAATTAACTTTGGCATGATTCTCATTCAAGTATTGAGAAATGTCACTTGGCTTCAAATACTAGATATGGAAGCATGATATAATCATATAAATAGGATATGTATACATATTTGGGATATTAAACATATCCCCTTCTCCCAAATATGTGAATGTATGGACCTGCTGATATCTGTATCTGGGCATCATAGATTAAGATATGCCATCTTAAAGTTTACCTTGAAGTTTAAAGCAGGCAATCTACAGGATTTGTTTCTAACTTGTAGATTTGATGATCCAAATTTGGCTTAAGCTCTATCTGTTTCACCATGAAATAGGTGGAGAACTTTTCAATCTGTAATATTTTAGTTTTATTTCTTCTGCCTCTTTATATCCAAAACATTGATTTCTACCTCCTTTTACATAGAAAATTTAGTCTTAGGTGCAAAAGATAGGCATATCTAGAAAATAGTCACTGGAACCATGATTTAGAGCATTCAAAAATTTTAAGTTTCTAAAATATTCCCTTAAATTTTTCACAAGATTTATATGCTTATTCTCACTGTAGCCTGCCATCTCATTTATAGCATGTTGTGCACACAATCATGAGGTCATTTCCTTAGACTGTGTTTGGAAAGAGTGCAAATCCCTGTTCAGTGCATATATGCACTCTGGTTTGGTTTTGCTAGTGTTTGGCAACAATGCATTTTGTGCATTGACAATGACAGAAAACACAATTTCCAAGGCATGTTTACACCTAAAATGAGAGGTGATTTTACATAGAAAAAAAGAAAGTAAACATTTTCACCCAAAGTGATCAATGTTAAAAATGTGTATTTCAATATTGGGATTCATGTTTGCATCCATTACAACTAAAACTTGTTTGACAAGAAAGTAAATTTATCAGTGCAAAACTAAACCAACTTTGCATTTGTATGGACCAAAATGCACTCTGCATAATTGCATTTACACTCTATTTGCACTGTTTCCAAATGCAGCCTTAGGAACTTCATTGATAGATTCTCTCTCTCTCTCTCTCTCTCTCTCTCTCTCTCTCTCTCTCTAGAAACAGGTGTTAGTTATGGGTTGATTTCCCTGTACAAGTAATCTTTTATTTCAGAATCTTGTCTGTGTTCTTTGTATGCACAAATTATTGCTTTTTTTCAGCCAAACGTTTTCTTTCATGTAAACATGCATGGATTATGAGTTGGTGTTTTCTGTTGGTACTTCTCCTTTGCTAACTTTTACTCAACTAAATAGGAAGGGTTACTGGACATTTGTATTTCCTTGCATGCATCTTCTGTAATTAGGTTCATATGCTGAAACCTGCATCTCTACAAGTTCATCAGTTTATTTAATTTTGCTACATTAATATATGTTTTTATTAAATGCTGGTGCACTGGTAAACATTTTCACCTGACAATTGTAGGCTGTGATTTCCAATTTCTTCAGGTAGAAGGGGGACAAGTTGGTTTACTGCATTCTAATGATACTGATCATCCCAGCCCAGGATCAGTTCTTGAAGCTTGTTTCTCTAATGACAGTTGCTATTCTGGTAGTCTTGATGACAGCTCAGGTAGGAAACTGTAATGCAAGTTCTCTGCTTCACTGAATGTTTTCAGTAGAAGATGTGCTAGGGAATAGGGATACAGTTATCAGAAATTCCAATTCCAGACATTAAAATTTATATTAAATTAGCTTTTCTGTTTGTTAAGTTTTTTTTTTTTTTCTAATTTAATTTTATGTGCTTCTGATACCAGGACATAACCTGCACTCTGAATCTATGGGTTGTTCATATGATCAATCACAGCCATCATCACTCATTGATGCAGATTTGTCAGATTCTGCCACATCTTTCAACATGAGGAGGGCTGGATATGAGGTTGCAATAGATTCCACGGGCATTCTTTCCAGGATATTTCATAGCATTGATCTTGCAAATATTGGCCTAACAGGAACCAAGCTCGACGATGCCAGGGAGGTTATCATGCATGCTGAGCTGATGTTTGGAAATATTACCTTGAGCCATGCAGATGGCATGGCAAGCTTCCTCACAGGCCCCCTGCTTGACAAGTTGGATGCTCTTGCTGATACCTTTTGGAGAAGTTACAGTTGTAATCTGAGTTTTAAGGAAGCGAAAGAAGGTTTCCTACTTAGGAGTTTTCATTTTGACTGTATTATAGAGTGCTTGGACTCCAAATATAGTCATTACTGTAAATCAGGATACAAGACATGGGCGAAACTGCCACTGCACATGAGTAGAGAGTTGCTGCTACAAGAGGTCTACGATGAGGTTAGAAGGTGGTCTGATTTTGCTGGAAAAATCCCAGATGAGATAATAGAGAGGGAGATGAGTCATGCGTTGGGGAAATGGACAGATTTTGAGATTGAAGCATTTGAGGCGGGTACTGAAGTCGAGTTGGACATACTGGACATTTTGATGGATGAAATCGTTATGGACCTTTGGCAGTGTGGAGCTACTTTCTCTTGGATACTATAGAAAATAAGAAAACCCCCTAACCGTGGTTTCTTATAAACAGCTATTCACTTTGTTTGCCTCTCTCTCTGTTGAGTTTTTTGTTTTTTCACTTTTGTGTAGGTCTCCTCTATCGAGTGTTGTAAGTTCAAGCTGCAGATTCTAGGTGCTATGTTGTAATTATGCATCCAGTGAACAGGCTACAGAATGAGGGAACCTCTGTTGTACCTCCATGTTTCTCTACGATAAGATGAATTTATTTGTACAAATAATTGGGCTTCACCTTCACAACGGATTGTGTTTCTTGGCAGGTTCAGCATTGGTTTTTGTCCATGAAGATTGTATTTCACGGCTTTATCCAAGGGAGCCAAATCATTAGACATTTTTCACTACACTAAACAATATATGAAAAGCATTTTAACAAGTAAAAAAGTAAAAACAAAACCAAGTAAAAAAAAAAAAAAGGGAAACTGAAGTGGCGTTTGGACTGTTGTTTAGGTACTTTAGGTTTCTAGATGACTTGTCCAAAAGTAATATAAGTTATTTATCAGTTTACTTATCAAATGTACTTTTTACTTGATGGTTAAAGAATATCAGTTACATTAAACACAGATTCATGTTTAACGAGGCCTATTACCTATATATCATTGAAAACTTTGGCATTAAAGTTGGGACGTTGAGCTTTGCACATTTACCTCAAATTGAAACTCCAGTCTAAAGCTAGCCAACTTCCCCAATAAAGTAGTTTCATAATTTTAGTGACCATCAAAAAAGGTCCACTAAGGTTTACACAGGTTGAGAGTGAGTTGGTAGGGCTTAGGGTTGACAAACGGAGGTAGCAAGGATAAGGATTTGGAGAGGGAGAGGCTAAAATGAAAAGCTTTTATCATGTTAGTGACTTAGCGTGTTATTATTTTTTTTCGTGGGCATTTCGTGATAAGCATTTATTAAATCACCATTAAATCAACATTTTTCTATCATATTCTTTTGTATATATTGATATTCACAAAAGTGGATTTTGATTTATTTGTGCATTAATCGTTGGGGGAAACTTCATTTTAAAGCTTCCTCTAATGGTTGAGCATCTATTCACTGTTCCACTGATGTAGCACCTAATGACACCTATTTGTTAGTTGTCCATAAATAGTTTATCAAATACTTTTCTCGGTTTTGAAGATAAATTAAGTACAATTGCTTATTTAATAAATGAAAGCTATATCAAACACATACTTAATAAGTAGTGATAACTCAAGGGAAGGGACATGATTTTTGTCTAATTGGGCTTAAACATCAGTTGGGCTGGTATCTAGGGGTGCCAATGGTATTCAAAAATCTGATTTCGAATTTGATATTTAACATAATCAAATTGAATTTGGATAATTTGAATATCTAATGAGTTGAATTCAGATATCCTATTCATACTGAATAGTCAATCGGATTCAAATTTAGATATGACACGATTCGATTCGATAAATATCAGAATTCAATTAATTATTTAATTCTTATATATAATATATAAAATATTTAAATTCTTATATAATTTATAGATATAATAATTAAATTATATAAATAATTTATATGCTTTATATAAATAAATACTTATTTTATATATTTATTAATTACCTAAAATAGTTAATTAGTCGAATTCAAATTGAATCGAATATTCAAATATTAATTTTCAATATCCGTTGGATGTCGTATCGAATTTTCTAATCGGATTTGAATTTGGATATCGCATGATCCGATTCAAATTTGATCCATTTACACCCCTATTGGTATCACCCATGACCCAGACTACAAATAGACTTGTTAATGGATCGGGTCTATTCGATGGATCTGAATTGACTGAATAAATTATAACGGTTCTGGTTTCATGATTTTGTCCAATGTTTTCAATATCGGGCCGGACCGAACGGCCAGACCAGAAAACCATGGACCGGTTCTGTTTCACCCCAAAACCGCTATTTGCCCGAAAACTGTTGATTTGGTCAGGAAGCTGCTAACCTAAGCGGTTAAACTATCAAACTGTCGACCCAACAATGGCTTTTGGTCGTTTTTTGTTTTTTTTTTTTTTATTTTTAATTTTTTTGTTAGAGTAGGTCGTCCGTTCAGTCAGAACGGTCAGAACGTTTGACCCGGAAACCAGACCGTAGAATGGTTCCTTGTTCGGTTCAATTTTAAAAATCTTGATCTTGTCCCAATTAATAATTGGGTTAGTTTAGGTTCTTATCTGTCCCAAATCGATTCAGACCTGATTTCTTATAATTTATTATCATATTATATATTTGAAATGGTAATTTAGATAGATAATAAATAGGAAAATATTAGTTACAAATGTTTAATTTATTAACATATAAATAATTTAGTATTTTCTATCATTTTTATTAAAGTTATATTATCAATATTTAAACTTTAAGTTATTATTTAAATTAACAAATATAGTTTTCGTATAAATATGGTATGGACCCAATATAACTGACTATTAATCAGGATGGACTGGTTCTACATGAACCTGATCCAGACCCGACCTATTGAGAGTAGGGATGTCAATGGGTTGGGTTTGGCATGGGTTTTCCATAACCTTTACATGGCCCTCCAGTGCCCCAACCCAAATCGGCCCGACCCAGATAAAAATACATGATTTTCGAACCTGACCTGAAACTATAGGGTCTAATCCAATACTGACCCAACTTGACCCATAGCATTTCAAATGTATTTTTAATACGTTTTAAAGACCTAAAATCCATTAATTTAAATTAGGAAATTATTTTATTGATTTTAATGTCTCACTTTTTCCATTTAAGAAAAAGAAAAAAACCAAAATCATCATATAAATAAATCATAAACTTTAAGGCTATAGAGTTAGAAGTCAAAAAATTGCAAGAATACTTGTATACATGTAGGGAATCATGAGCTCGTAGGGTGGGTCATCCAAAACCCAAACCTGATTCGGGTCAAGGAATCAAAACCCTAACCCAACACTAAAGCTGATTATACTTGACCCTAGCCCGAGGCCGACCCTTATAAGGTCAAGTCAAGCCGGATTTACCATTTAACTTGACCCATTGACATCTCTATTTGATAGTCATAACCACATAATGAGATGCATTTTCACAATAACCTAAATAATCTCTTCTCCTAAAATTTCTCCTAAACTACCTCCCTCATTATCCCCCACTTTCTCCAAAATTATCGCTGGTTCCTATTTATCTTCTAAATTATCTCTAATTCCTACTTATCTCCAAAATTATCTATAATTTAGTAGAGATTTTCTCTCCTAAATTATCTCTAATTCCTATTTATCCTCTCCCCTGCTTTTTATTTATATCTATCTAAAGAAAGTTTGGATTAAAAATTTAAGAATTATTTAAATATTCTAACAAAATTTTATAATAACTTTAAAATAGTTATTAAAAACACAAAAAATAATTTTATATTTTTACAAAATATATCACGAAATTATGTAGTAACAATTTAAATTATGTTTTTTCGAATTAGCAATTTAAATGTTTTTCAAATATTTAAYAATATGTAATAGCTTTAAATAAATAAAATTCAAATAACAAAAAATTTTAAATATTTTATAGATTATTTAAATATTTATCAAAACTAGATTTTAAATAGTTAAAATAACGAAATTATGTAATAAATTTAAAAAATTTCTTCAAAGTAGAAAAATAATTATAACATAATATTGAAATTAAAAAAATAAAAATGAAATTAAAATTTAATATATTACCAAATTAAAAATGAAATTATGTAATAATAGTATAAATTCTGATTTTATGGATAAGTAAATTAAATAAAAAATAATATTTTAAAATTTAAATATTTAACATATTTTTTAAGTATTTAAATAACAGGACATTTAACATAACTAGATTTTAAATAGTTAAAATAAAGAAATCATGTAATAAATTTGAAAAAAAAATATGAAATGTAGAAAAATAATTATAACGTAATATTGAAATTAATAATAATTTAAAAATTTTACCTAATATTGTAAATAACTAATTTCATTTATATCAAGTAATTTCTCAAGAAAATAACTTTTAGAAAAAATAATTTTTATTAATAATGATTTTAAACTCTTAATCTGTATTTATTATATAATTATATATACTAAAATTAATATTTATAGTATTTTAGTAATTATTTATTGTTTTTTGTGATAAATGTATTTTCAATGATTATGTATGAATTTATTTTGTTTTGTTATTTAATAGAAAACTTTCAATAATTATTGGAGATTAAACTACTATTATTGAAATTTTTAAATTTAATTCATTGCATTTATTGTATTTTTGTTATAACTTATTGATTAATATTTAATAGAGGTTAAACTATTATTTGGGATTATATTATTTATTGACTAAGTTAATATATTTTTAGTACTTATTTATTTTTTAATTATTGTACTTTTCGCTCTAAATTTTCAATAATTATTGGAGATTAAACTATTGTTATTTATTAGAGATTAGACTATTAATTTAGTTGAAATTATGAGTGTTCATAAGTTGGTTCAGCTCGGTCGTAGGTTATTTGGCCAACCAAATTGACCTGGTCAGGTTGGGGAGTTGGTCAGTTGAAACTGACTGACCTTTTGTGAAAACGACCCACTCAAGTTGTATCAGTTAGGGTCGATTTTTGGTTTGTTTAGTTGGTTGAAAAGATTTAAACTTAAAAATTAAATTCAATTTTAAAAATTACAATGCAATTTTTAAAAAATAAATTTAAAAATTAGATTTATGATATAAAACATTTTAGACTAAGAAATATGGGAAATTTCCCGTTTTTCCATATTAGAAGTTATTATATTTAAAATATAAATATTAATACATATCCATAGTTAGGTCGTTCTATTTTGGTAGGTTTACAAATGGCCAAAGTGAAACAAATCCAACTTGGTCAAATTGGGAAATCTTTTAACCAAAGCCGACCTAAAATACTAGAAAATTGACCAATTCGAGTCGAGTTGATCAGGTTGGTGAGTTTCATCAATTTGATGAATAAACCTGATGCAGCACAATCCGGGCACTCCTAGCTGGCGGACGCTTGGCTCCTAGCTGGCGACAGACGGTACCTGAGAAGAGGAGGGTGAAGGATTCCCGGGGAGCTCGCCCGGTGGGAATACTCCGATGCTTAAGTTAGAACACTCGAGAGAGCTGTAAAGGATGCAAAGAGAGCTAAGAGTGCAGATAACGCTAGATCAGTAAAATTCAATATTAACTCCAGATACCTTTGCCCCTTCGACCATGGGGCTTTTAAATACGGGTGTTCTTGTCAAATCG